TATGTTCAGAGCCATAATGATAGTTTCCTTCCTAACTGGGGCAAATCTGCAGCTGTTTGCTAAAGAGGATTTAAGCCCATTTTTATTACACGTCTCTAAAACCCAATATTTGTTGAAACAGGACCAAAGTAAAAACATCATAATTTTTTTCTATATAACCTCTTCCTTCCTTTTTGTATGGCTATTGTATACAAAAAAGACTGAAGGTAGCTAGCCACCAGGAAAGAGCGCCAGTTGCCTGCAGCCACCATGCTTTGAGAAGCTCACCCTAGCTAAGTGGAAAAGGCAACCGGAGGACTGAGGACCTGGGAAACAGTCCCAGCAGGCCTCTGGCCCACAGCCATGGCAGTGAAGCCAATTTGAACCTCTTACCTCCTCAGATTTCACCTAGTCAACCCCTTGAACTGTAAGAAATAATAAAATGCTATTGGTTTAAGCCACCATGTTTTGGGGTGGTTTGGTAGATAACTAAACAGCGAGAAATCCACTTTTCCAGCCAGAATGAATATCACATCTGAGTGAGAGGTACCTTCACCATAGTAGCTCACTGTGGTTTATCAGTAGAAATGCTACATTCCTTCCACTCAAGGATGCCCATCGGCTGAAATATTCGGCTCAGTAAACCCAGTATCTACACTGTACCTCGGTCAACAGTGTTAAATAATATGAACAATCCTAGTAATGACAGTAATAATAGCAGCTAATATTTACCAAGTATTACTTCTTATAAGGCTTCACACTAAACCTTTTATTAATTTAACCTTCACAAAAGCCTTTTTGGATTACTAATATGCCCATCTATAAAATGGGCATATTAGTGATCACCCTCTGGCCATCTGACTCCAGAAGCCATATCCTAACCATCGCCTTCAGTGCCTCTTCCAGTACTATTCTACTTTTTAAAAACTGCCTCCCTCTAAAAGAGATAACTTGCCTAAACGATTTAAACTATAAACACCAACTCTTACTATTAGAAACTTTGAGGCCAGCATTACCCTAATTCCAAAAGCATATAAAGACACTACAAAGAAAGAGAATTACAGTCCAATATCCCTGATGAAAATAGATGCTAAAATCCTCAACAAAATATTAGCAAATTCCATCCAGCAATATATTAAAAAGATCATACACCATGACCAAGTGGGATTTATTCCGGGGATGCAAGGCCAGTACAGTATTCACAAATCAATAAATGTGATACATCACATAAACAATTTGAAAGACAAAAATCACATGATCATTTCAATAGACGCAGAGAAAGCATTTGACAAAATCTAACACCCATTTTTGATAAAAATTCTCAGCAAAGTGGGAATAGAGGGAGCATATCTCAACATGATAAAGGCCATATATGACAAACCTACAGCCAACATCATGCTCAATGGGTAAAAACAAAGAACAGGAACAAGACAGATATGTCTGCTTTCACCACTTTTTTTTTGATTAAGGTATTACATATGTATCCTTATCTTCCATTGCCTCCCCTCCCACCCCCATTCATGCCCTCACCCCCCTGGTGTCTGTGTCCATTGGTTAAGCTTGTATGCATGCATACAAATCCTCTGGTTGATCTCTCCCCCCTATCCCACCCTCCCTTACTTTCCCTCCGAGGTTTGACAGTCTGATCGATGCTTCTCTATCTCTGGCTCTGTTTTTGTTCATCAATTTATGTTGTCCATTATATTCCACAAATGAGTGAGATCATGTCATATTTAACTTTCTCTGACTGTTTTATTTCGCTTAGCATAATGCTTTCCAGTTCCATCCATGCTGTTGCAAATGGTAAGAATTCCTTCTTTTTTACTGCAGCGTAGTATTCCATTGTGTAGATGTATCAGTTTTTTTATCCACTCATCTGCTGATGGGCACTTACACTTTTATTGAACATAGCACTGCAAGTCCTAGCCACAGAGATCAGACAAGAAGAAAAAATAGCCGAACTGGTTTGGCTCAGTGGATAGAGCGTTGGCCTGCGGACTGAAGGGTCCCAGGTTCGATTCCAGTCAAGGGTATGTACTTTGGTTGTGGGCACATCCCCAATAGGGGGCGTGCAGGAGGCAGCTGATCGATCTCTCTACAAAAAATTAAAATACTTAGGAATAAACTTAGCTAAGCAGGCAAGAGACCTATAGTTGGAAAACCACAGGACTTGAAAAAAGAGATAGAAGAAGATATAAACAAGTGGAAGAATATACTATGTTCATGGATTCATAGAATCACCATCATTAAAATGTCCATACTGTCCAATCTACAGGCAATCTACAGATTCAATGCAATCCCTATTAAAATACCAATGGCATATTTCACAGATCTAGGACAAATACTACAAAAATTTATATGAAACCAAAAAAGACCCTGAATAGCCACAGCAATCTTGAGAATGAAGAACAAAGTTAGAGGAATTACAGTACCAGATTTCAAGTTATACTACAAAGCCACCATAATCAAAACAGCCTGGTACTGGCACAAAAACAGGCATATAGAGCAATGGAACAGAACAGAGAACCCAGAAATCGACACAAGCCATTATGCTCAATTAATATTTGACAAAGGAGGCAAGAGCATACAATGGAGTCAAGACAGTCTCTTCAATAAATGGTGTTGGGAAAATTGGACAGATACGTGCAAAAAAATGAAACTGGACCACCAAGTTACACCATACACAAGAATAAATCAAAATGGATAAAAAGCTTAAATGTAAGTTGTGAAATCATAAAAATTCCAGAAGAAGCCATAGGAATCAAAATCTCAGGCATCTCTCATAACAATATATTTATGGATACATCTCCTGCAGTGGTTCTCAACCTGTGGGTTGTGACCCCTTTGGCGGTCGAACGACCCTTTCACAGGGATCGCCTAAGACCATTCTGCATATCAGATATTTACATTACGATTCATAACAGTAGCAACATTACAATTATGAAGTAGCAACGAAAATAATATTATGGTTGGGGGTCACCACAACATGAGGAACTGTATTTAAAGGGCCAGAAGGTTGAGAACCACTGTGACCTAGGGCAAAGGAAACTGAGAAGAAATAAACAAATGGGACCACATCAAAATAAAAAGCTTCTGCACAGCAACAGAAACCATCAACAAAACAAAAAGGGAGCCCACTGAAACCATACATCTGATAAAGGGGTTAGTATCCAAAATATATAAGGAACTCATACAACTTAACAGAAGGAAGACAATCCAATTAAAAAATGGGCAAAGGATCTAAATAGATACTTCTCCAAAGTGGACATAGAGATGGCAAAGAGACATGCAAAAATGTTCAAGATCACTGATCATGAGAGAGATGCAAATTAAAACAATAATAAGATATCACCTCACACCTATCAGAATGGCTACCACCAACACAT